TTACCAGGGGCTGGTGGGGCCGGTGGTGCAGAGGGAACAGGGAGTTAAGTGTTTAATGGGCTGATGAGTCAATTCTGGAGCCGGATGGTGGTGATGGCTGCACAACCACATGAATGTATTTATTACTGCCTCTGAACTGTGCACTTAAAAATGGTTAAAACAGTAAATTTTGGGTTGTGCGTATTTTACCACAATAAAAAGAAACCCAGTGGTGCATATTTTTTAAACTTGAAAGTATCACAATATTCTGATAGATCAGCTACGTCGCAAGTTCAGAGTAAGGCCCCACTATTTATTTTTAAAATTACGGATAATAAATAAGAGACTGGAAATAAAGAAGTCCAAACAATAACCGATTATTTCTGAGGAAGGGTGATTTCTATTGTCTTCTTTGGGCTTTTCTGTATTTTTCCAATTATATATTCAACAATAAATGTTTCTAGGTCTTTTGTAGTCAAATAAAACAGGTATAGCATTATGTATGAATGTACTCAACACCACTAAATTGTACATTTTGAAGCGGTTGCAATGGTAAATTTTGTGTTATGCGTATTTTGCCACAATAAAAAATAAATGTGTTTAAAAGACAAAATACAACTTGGATGAAAAACGTTACTTTCCNCAAGCATTGTGAAACCAGCAGTACTCTACATCATGTACCTTCAGCGTTTTTTTGCGGGGGAAGGGAGACGTAACACAAACCCAGACCAGCCAGTAGTGAGTGGGAGTAGTGAGTAGTAACTCCCAGTGAGGGAGTTATCTTCTTTGGAGATAACGGTCATCTCAGTGCTCGCTTCAGCAGCACATATACAATACTTAAAAAAAAAAAGTAAGGTCATCTCAGTGGGAACCATAAGATAAATCCTCATGTACACAGACAATAATGTTAATAGCATTGAGAAGATTTGGAATAATGACCAGGAATCCCCCAAACCAACAAAGTGTGAGATCCAGTCATGACCCTGATGAAATATACAGGCCTGAAGGCAGGCCGGTTCTTGCAGACAAGAAGAAGAAGAATTCTTTTTCATTTATAGCCCAGAAAATTTGGCCAGCGTCTCAGCTGGCTGCACTGTATAGAAGTCAGTTCGGATATAACGTTTCCCCTCTCCTTGTTTGGTAGCTACTTGCAGGAAACAGCCAACAAACCATTAGTCAGATGAGTTTCCTTCCTCCGATCAGGGAAAAATGTCTCACATCACGGAATCCATGTAGGAACTAATTCATGTGCTAGGTATCGAAGAGAAACTTGAATTTTGTTTGTCTGGTTATAGAAACTGTGCTGAGAGAGGCTGAAGATAGAAGGTCCTGCTAAGATTCCACCTGATGACAAAGTTCTTGGGCACATCAGCCTAGTAACCAGTGTGGATTGGTCGTTCCTATTTCTACAACAGCTTATACTGTTTTCCATGTGCCGGACCCTGAACTCAGTGCCTCTCACCCACTATTTCGTTTAATCTCACAGCAGCCTTATGAGAAGGTCTGAGGTCATCTCCATTTATGTCCAAGGCAAGTCTCTAAGACAGAGAGAAAGAGAGAAAGAGAGANCACATCTTCGGGGGGTAAACTGTATTCAAGAACACAAAGACACCGCATCACTTTGACACTCGTGACAAATAAAGACGCATTATATTTGTGTAGCGTTTTTAACCTTCTAAAGTGTTATTCACCATTGTTCTTTATTGCACTATCAGCAATCGTGGGAAAGTGGTTTTTTTCAAGGTGAAGAGGCCAGAGCCCATTTGAATGCCTCTTAGAAGCACCCAGGAGATAGGGGAGGTTGTTGGTGCCAGAGCAGGGCTGTCCCTGGTGCAAAGTCCTAAGGAATGAAGAAAGGGTGGGCTCAGGGGCAAAAAAGGGTGTGACTCCTCTACAGTCTCAGCAAAGGAAGGAGGTACAGGTGGGAGGGTGCCAGGGAGGGCTGGAGGAACTTTGTTAAAGGGATGTTATCGAGGAAGCCAGTGCAGAGCATGAGCTATCCACCTAGGGCAGGGGTCGGCAAACTTGTGAGACGGAAGAGCCAATCCTGCCCCTCACAACAATTTAAACATTATTCGAGAGCCTTAAAACAAATGAAATCACCATGACGTGAATAATATCCTTTAAAAATTTTATAAATGAAACTGTGATAGTTTTATTTTCATTTTCAATTTTACTTCAGAGCCACATGTACGTACCCAGAGAGCCGCACGTGGCTCGTGAGCCGCAGTTTGCCGACCCTGACCTAGGGCATAAGGAGCCAGGGTGTCTATACACCAACCCCTGCCAGCTGGGCTCCTCCAGGGGACGTGACCTCCCCAGGTAGCGCCAACCCGCCCCTTAATCGGCAGTGGGATAGACTCTTGTGCAGAGGCAGGTGTTGAGAGTTTCATCAGAGCAGTTGTGTTCAGCACTGCAAGAACGGAGGGGCTCTCTGTGCCCCCATATTTTGTGCCAATGTGTGGGGGTGTGTGTTTGAAAAAGGGGTAGATGGTATGAAACAGTCCCTTTTGGAGACAGGAAAGCAGCCCAGCTGGAAACTGCCAGACACCCAATCGCGGTACCTGACGGTGCATTTCAAATGGGGACACAGCTCAGCTGTGGCTTCCTCTGCACCGTGCCGTGTGGCCACGCTGGGCTGGCACCGAGGACAGAGGCAGACCAACCATCCCCACTGCCCACAGGGGACTCACTGGGGCCAGTACACCTGCAGGATGAGGCTTCGGAGTAAGAAGTGAGGGGTTTATGTGCGCAGTGTGGGGTGCCTGATTGAGGACTGGGGGTGTTGGTGGGAAGAGCGCGAGGCCACCCTTCCAAGGTCGTGAAGGGTGAGCGTTGACAGCACAGCTGCGAGATCTCTCTGAAATGATCACTCATTTCATCTGTGAAATGGGACGATGGTAGATTTGCAATTCTGAGTGAACACAAGCGCTGGGTGCTGTGATGAGCCTTTGGGCCACATGTCTCTCACCCAGCAGGCTAGCCCAGGCTCGTGCACATGGCCATGGTCTTGGGGTTTCTAAGAGCCACAAAAGAGAGAGGAAACCCAGAGCTCCAGCTGCTTAAAGCAAGTCCAACCGCCAGATTCGAGGGGTGGAGACATTGATGGGAGGAGGAGAATGTGGCCAATTTTGCCATCGACCAGGGTTGTTCTGAGGATAAAATGAGATCATATAAGTAGAACACCTATTAGCATTGTGAGTGCTCAATAAATGTATTGACAATGATGGCATTTCTCTCTTCCAGTTTTTTTAAAATAATATTGGGTTGTCGGAAAAGAAAAGTCATGATGTATTTTTTTCTATGTTTTTCATTGCAAAAATGCGTCATGACTCCCGACAACCCAATATTACAAAGGTAGATGTTACAATAGGTCTTACGTAGTAATTTTTCATTTTTGCGGAATGTCTTGTCTCTGTTTCCTCCCGTATGTGATGAGAATAATCCCAGTCTCAGTGAGGATTCGATGAGGTGGTAAAGAGACTGGTGCAGGGACCGCCAGAGTTATTATTAGTATAAGATCCATGTCTCCACCTCCTCCCCGCACACGAAAAGGAAACCCAGACTTGATCGCGTTTTCATTTTTGTTTTATGTTGACTCACATCCCACTTTCGGAGCTGTTTGCAGACTCCCCTCCAGGCTGTCCTTTCTTCTGGTTCCTGGGCTGCTTCTCTCCTCCCCTCCCCTCCCTGAAGGCACCCCCTCCCTTTGTATTTCATCTCCCTTCCTCTGTCTGCAGCCTCCTGATGCCTAGGGGGCTCCCTGGGGATGGAGCCACAGCTTCAGGGGACTCCTGAGGGACCCTGGAGCCACAAGGCCCTTCTAGGTAAGGACGACAAAGCCTGGAAGTGCTGGGTACCTGTCATGGCTCTAAATATCTAAATATCTCCCAGCTGCTCTGAGTGGCACTTACTCCAGTCCCCTCCACCTTGCGCCTTCTCAAGGCTTGGGGTGAGGTGGGGCTCTGTGCAGCTTCTGAAGTGCCTCTGTGCTGTTGGACAGCCTGGGAAAGTGCTTACTTCTTTGAGCCCGGGAAATGCAAATCAGCCATCAGTCCGTTCTTAACTACCCACCCTGGAAGAGGAGAGTAGGGGCTCCAAGTCTCAAAACCTGGGTGGTCCAAAATATGAATAACTTGAGCATACCCTAGACCTTGTCAAACCTGATGAGGCCCCTGCAGCTTAAACGTCAGACAGCTTCCCTTCTCTGGGGCCGGGACACTGAGAAAGGGGGATAGGAATACGAGAAGAGCCTGCTCTGAGCTGGCTCACGGCAGCCCCTCTGTAGAAGACAACAGTTTTTCCTGGATGGACTTTGAAGCAGTTCTCGGGCTGAGTGCTTGTTACTAGGCTCATTAGTTCTTACATCATCCATATGGGCTGGCAGTGACAAACCCATTTTACAGATGCAGGCGATGAGGATCAGAGAGTTTGAGATAAGTCGCTTTGAATTCAGAGTTCATGGATAGAGCATCATTGACTGGTGTGGGTGAGAAAGGGATTGGGGGTAGCCTAGGAGGTGGCTGATGCCACCTCCTTGGTCCAATGCCTCCTAATAGGGGAAGGGAAAGTGTACCACACTGGGAATGGACAGGCCAGGTTCAAGTATACTTTTAAGGAAGCTGAAGGTCTTTGGATTTTGCCATGAAGGCAAGTTTTCCTCGAATTTTCTGAGCCTCAGTTTTCTCACCTGTAAAATGGGTTGTTGTGAGCATCAATGAGGTGATACGTTGAAAGCATTTCATCCAGTGCCTGCATGTGCAGATCAGAGGCTCTGTCTTACACTCCGGATCCAGGGATACCACAGGGCAGGGCACCTGGGCTGGCCCCTCCAGACAGCCTTGCCTTTCTGGCTGGGCATTTTCAAGGGCAGCTTTGTACCCTATAGTCAGGGCAGGGCCTGGGCCCCAGCCCTAGGCAAATGCTGTGGCTTCTATGGTTGTTTTAAGAATCGTGCTATTCCAAACAAGACCCAGGCTGGGCTTCTCTTGTAAATATTGATAGAGGCCCCAGACAGAGAGGAACAAGAAAACAAGGGACGTTTTATTTATGATAGAGAAAGAAACCAACAGGAAAAAAAAAAAATCTACAGGCCCAACAGGGGGGAGGGATGTTAAATAAACCGTGGTGCAGTCACTTGATGGAATACTGTGCAACTATTGAAATGATGTTTACCGAGGGTTTGTAATAACACAGGAAAATGCTCATTCTCAAAAGCTAAGCGAAAAAAAGGAAGTGACGGAATTGTATATTCAGCACAATAACACCCAGGCAAAAATCGAGCCCAATCAAAGTCACACATGCAAGAAACAGGCTGGAGGGGCACACGCCACAGCGGGGGTTAATTGGGGAGATTTTTTTTTTATACTTTTCTCTATTTTCCAATTTTTCTTTTTTCTATAATGGTATGGTTAGCTTAATGTAGAAAGCAACTCACACTTAAGGTGTGTGTGTGTGTGTGTGTGTGTGTGTGTGTGTGTGTGTTTCCCTAAAGAAGAAAGGACCCTTACTGGAAAAGCAGGACAGATGACCCAGGGAGAAGCCAAGTGGCGCGGAGATCACCCTGAGCTGAGGGCTGCAGGTGGACAGACCAGGGTGTTAAACAAGGTCAAGTAGAGAGCCTAGACCCTGCACGCTTGGAGTAACGTGGGCTGATGGACATCCAGCCACACACCCAGATATGGCATCTGTGATGTCCTGGGAATTATTTTGACTCTCATCCCTAAACATGCAAACTCTTCTTCTCTCTTGGGAATGTCTCCATGCAGGGAGCCCCTTTCATAAATGTTTGGGGAACAGAATTCTCTCCCGTACAGGAAAGGCTAAGGCAGCATAGCTGGGCTCCTACCCTTTTCACACACCAAGACGGAGCTCCTAGCAGGCAGCGTGGCCCTCTTGCACTGGTGTGACAAAGCCCTTCAGGCGGCATGGCCTGCCTTCCTGTGCCTTGTGCCAGCCCTGGTCTATGCGTCTCCCAGATCCCCTTTACGGTCTCTGCTCCAGGCCATCTTCTCAGGGAGGCTTGGTCACATTATCCCACTTTCCTGCCTTCACTGTCTCTATTGGCACTTATGTGACACGGGTTCTATTAACTTATGCATTTGTTTTTCAGAATTGCCTATTTCCCCCCATTAGAATGTGAGCTCCTTGAGGGCAGGGGCCTCTGGGGGGTACTGCAGGCACCTCCAGCACCAGGAATAATGGCTGGCCTCAACATTCTATCAATGAACGCTGACCATCATGGCCCAGACGGCCTTGGCAGGTCTCCTGAACGACCTGGCTCTACCATGACGGCTCTTACCATTTTCCTTCCTCAACTCAACTCCAGAGATGAGAAACACGCCAGCTCTGATCTATTGGTAGTGACTGCCTGGGCCCTGTGCTGAAACAATGCTGAAGTTGTTGTAAGGGCTTAACAGAAAGAGATAGAACAGTTAGTGATATGCCCCACCGGACGGGACCCTGGGGAGGCAGAAAAGATGGGCCACTTCCTGTGTCAGCCCAGGCCCAAATCTCAGCTCTTTCTCTCATTGTGAAGACCACACCCGCCATCATTGGTTCTGGAACAAACTTTGCTGTCTTATCCCTGGAATCGTCTCCCTAGTGCTTACCAGGTGTACGCAATGGGCTTCTGAAAGGCTTTCCAGAATGATCCCTAGTTCACGCTTGGCTTGGAGCCCTCCCAATGCTCCCCAGCTTGGCTGTGGTCTTTTCCTCTGCCTGTCTCCTCACTGGAGTCCCGTCCCTGGGGCTGGCTCTGGCTTCACCTGCCACAGCTTCCGCATGGGGCTTTCCTCCCCAACATACCCCAGGCTGGCACCACAATGACAATGCCACCTCCTAGTCATGCTACTGAGCCCCACCTTTTGGGTCGCTTCACGCCTGAGTGTTGACTCTGACCTTGAGCACGACCTTGGCAAGGGATTGGGGTCACTCTCCATAGTCCCAGCTGACTTTTCTCTCCCAGCCTCCAATTTAGGAATAAACGAAGCAGCCTCAGGCCCTAGGCCTTGTGTGGTCCAACAAGTCTCCTCGTCTTTGTGCCAACCTCCTTCTCATTCTTCGTTCCAATCCTGACCTTCCTAAATGGCCCTGGGCTCAGCCCCAGCAGGTATCGTGGGTAGAACGTTCCCCAGATACTCTCATTTATCCCCCAGGCAGAGAAGTACATGCTCCACCCCATTTTCAAGACAGGGACGCTGAAGTAAAGCATCCTTATCTCGCTCACCTGTCAGGCCCTGCTCTGGTGTGCAACCCCGCCATCTCTACTTCTTTCCTCCATGTGTTTGTCACATAGATGGAGTCCCAGCTTCTGGCTGGGACCAAGAGCATGGCTGTTCTCCTATCTGTATGTACGTCTCCCTTCAGAGATGGAGCAGGGCTGTGGCTATAGATTGGACCAGTCTCTCCCCGTTCTCTCCAGAAGAATGAGTAACTTCTTGAAGTTGGAGGGTCTCCTGCCTTTGAGATCTGATGTGAAAGAAGACCCCAGTCTCCTGATGTGCCCCTAGAACCTTCTAGCTCCTTAGCGCCATCATGGGCCCACCCCTCCCTGGTCCTCTCCTGTCTGACGAGGCCAACCAGGTGACAACATGGAGCAGGGTGGACAAATCATGCCATCACCTCTCATCGGCCCAGAAGGACTGACTGGCAGTGGCTGCCCCTAGCTCCCAGATGTGAGGCTGGGTGGCTTGGACAGCTGCACTGTGAAGGGTTCTTGGATCTGGGGAGGGAGTCAGTGGTGAACTAACAGTGAGCCCAAGCAGGGGCCCAGGAGGAGGGTGGCCTCTGGATTGCATCTTCTCCTGCCTCTCCCGAGACCTCATATATGGAATCAATTGCGTTCTTAGTAGACCTCTACAAGAAGACATACCTTGTCCAATGGCTGCTAAAAGTGGAGGTTTCTCATACTAGAATCCCAGGTAATGAGAAAAAGTGAAGTGGGCTTTGGTTAATTTACTCCACAGGGAAAAAAGTCCTCCAGCTTTTAGCTGCTCTACTTCTCTAACCATCTCTCCCTCTGGCTGGGCCCCCTGGAGCTCCCCTGGGCTCCTTCCGGTCCTGCCAGAGCCACTCCCTTTATTTTTCCCACCTGTGTGCTCCAGGTGCTTCTGGGAACATTGGTGGCTGGGGCCCAAGGGGCAATGTTTAGGAAGGGGCCTTGGTGGCTTATAGAGAGCTCGCCCATCTCTAGTGGGGTCAGCTTGAGGGGTCGCTGGGGTCAACTGGCACATGAATCACAGTTGTGATGAGGTTGTACCCCTGAACTTTGCTGGGGTCCTGGCACCACCCCCCAATTCAGATCTGAAGCAAGCTGGTGGCCATCCCCGCAGACGTGGCTAAGAGCAGCCTACCGACACCAGTCCCAAGTTCTGTATTCACACTGGCTTCTGCAGCCCACTGACAGCAAAGACACATCTCAGAGCTCCAGCCAGAGGAGGAGGTAGGACTAGCATTAGCCTCCTCCTGGCCAAAGTCCTGGCCACCGGACCTCCCAGAAGTGGCCCCTGGAACAGTTGGACCACACAACAAATGTCTTGCACTTTGTCTCAAGTTTTGCAGAAGGAGCCCAGCAGAGGGGCGGCTATACACTGGTCTGAGGCACATCGGGGCCCGGCAGCGTCAGGACGGTGGGCAGGAGGGTGCCCTGCGGGGAGGGGAAGCTCTGCAGCTCCTTGGGCACAAACCTGGGTGAGAGGTGGTCGGCCAGGAAGCTGAGCATGCGCCGGCGCCCCACACAGTAGATGAGGCTGTCCACCACAGCGCACTGGAAGGTGTCTGGGTAGGGCGTCCGGTACGTGGCACACTGGTACCAGAGGCGGGCGCTGGCACTGCAGCGGTGCACGTCCATGCCCAGGCTGCGGTTGAGGTCAAAGCGGTAGAGAAAGCCACCGACCGCCACCATCTCGGCCGTGCGGTCCTTGCCCCCCGCCGTGGGGCCCACCTGCCAGCGCTGCTCCTGGGCCGAGAAGCGGAGCAGCAGGTAGCGCAGCGTGCCTCCCGTGACAAAGATATCACCGGCACATGCTGTGGCCGTGTGTGCCAGGGCGAAGGTATCATTGGGGAGTGGCGGGGCAAAGGTCCAGCGGTCCAGGCGAGGGTCATAGCGCTCGACCGTGTTCAGACACTCGCCCCCAATGGCGTACAGGTACCCGTCCAGGGCCACCAGCCGGCACTGCGGCCGGGCTTGGTTCAGTGGGCACACCTCGCTCCAGATCCCCGTCAGTGGATTGTAGCAGAAAACTCGGTTGGAGGGCCGGCCGCCAGACCCCTGGCAACCGGACACCACAAAGAGATAATTGAAGAGACTGCAGATGGCACAGCCCCGGGACACAGCCTCGGGGGGCAGAGGGGCCAGCAGGTGCCAGGCGTCCCGCTCATTGTCATAGCAACAAAGGCGGCCAGAGTCCTCCTGAGGGCACATGTCGGCCACCACCAGGCGCTTCTGGCCCCGGAGCCGTCGCTGGAGGACGAGCTCCCGCTCGGCTCCGCTCAGACACCCGTAGATGTCTGGGCTGCGCAGGACCTGGAGGTAGTTGTCACTCATCACCTTGTAGGCGGCCTCCTTCAGGGCTTCCAGGTTCTGTCTCTTGGCCAAGGTCAACACCTCGTAGCAATTGCCCAGATCCAGGTGGACATCTGGGACTGAACCTGGGGTGAGAGGGAGGTGGAAGAAATTGGTCCCGGCCACAAGCTGCAGGTTAGGCTCCCCACTACTTCCGGCTGAGCTGGACTCTAGAGAATCCTCGGATGTGGGGCAGCCAGGTGGGGCGCCCTGGTCCAGGCAGGATGGAGCAGGGCCCCCAAAGCCATGGAGCTGCAGCTGAAGCTCTGGGTTCTCCACGATCTGAAGGAGGCTCTCCTTCCTGCTGAAGCCACGTGTGGGGGGCGACAGCACAGGCTGGGGGGAGGCAGTTGTGTCGCCTTCACCTGCTCCGTCATCGGCATGGCTTCCAGAGGCTACCCCTGTTCCCAGGGGGGCTGGCACAGGAGGCGGCGCCTCAGCCAGGGCTGCTGTCCTGGGGGCCGGCCTGCCCCTAGAGGTGGCCTGAGAGGTGGATTCGACATAGTACTCATACAACTTGCCCTGCAGCCTGGGCCTGATTCCCTCCACCTTCTGTATGAAATTCTCCTCCACTCGCACCCGGGCCACTGACGAGAAGGTGTAGGAGGCGTTAGTGGCCCCCCCTTGCTGATACAGGGCCAGGCCCATGTCTGAGGCAGCCCGGAGGGCCCCAACCTCTTCCCTGTGGAACCCCGTCAAGCGGGTGAAGACCCAGCTGTTGCTCATGTCATTTTTGCTTTCTGTGCGAGCCATCCAGAGCTGGTGGGGTGACTCCTCCGCTCCGGCTCCTGGCTGCTCGGAGAGTCTGCCCTCCTGCCATGGAGCCGGCTCCCTACCCACGCCGCTGCCGTCTACCGCAGCGAGGCCAGTTGGGGAACTTTTGGGTTCACCGCCCAGAGGGGGGCGGCGGGGCAGCTCCGGCTTACCGCCAACAGTTGTTCTGGCTGCCTGGCCACTGCAGTAAGGAGGCGCCAGGCCAGAGTCCGGGCACTGCCCACCCCGCTGCTCACCAGCTCCTTCCCTCTTGGGCTTCTGAGTCTCTCTAGCTTCCAAGTCGCTGGAAGAGGCCCCCGTTGCCAGGACTCCGGAGCCCCCTGGATTCTCCCAGCTGCAGCCCGGCAGTGCTCCGGCCCCGTGGCTTCCTTTCCGTCGTCTCAGCTCGCGCTGTGGTGCCCCAGGAGCAGCCCCCTGGACGTCAGGCTGCCCGGAGCCTTCTGCCTCCTCCTCGGCCTTGGCCTTGGTGTACCTGCCCCACAGTGGGGCCTGGGCAGGCCTTGACTTGTACAGCCTGTAGGCTGCGGTCACCAGGAGCAGGGTGGCTGCGGACAGCACTACCTTGCCCGTCAGCTGCATGTCCAAATGCCAGTCTTGGGCTTCGGCTCCTCCTCCTCTGGGAAGCATGTTTCCCAAGCCGACCTGGGGCTCAAGAATGTAAAAAATCCGATTAATGATTACTTAACAGGGGCCCGTTCCTGGTTCCTGCTGAGCTGAGCCAGAGAGGGTTCCGGGCTGGCTCTGGCCGGCCCGCTGAGGAGTTGGAGCAAAGGTGACTTTGAGCTTGCAGAGGGCAGCTAGCTACGGGAGCCCCAACTGGCAGATCTCGCTGGCCTCTTTGGAGCCTTCGATGCTTTCCCTGGGGGTGAGGAGGAGCCTGCTCGGAGCTGAACTTGTGATCAGCCTCCTGAGCCGGCCCGCGGCAGCTGGAGGATGTTAGGACTGTCCAGCGGGCACGCAAAGAGGGAGGAAGCTCTTGACCAAACAGTCACCCGATGCCAGGAAACGCACGGGGTTGGTTATTATTTGTGTGTGTGCTTTATTTTCTCTTGCAAATCCACTGGGCTAGGAGGGCTGGGTGTGGTGAGCATGGGACAGGTGGAGCCTCGGCAGGTGTAGTATGAGACCCGCCCAGGTCTGTCTCCTTTATATTGAGGTCTGCTGGTCCCCATGGCAGGGGGTGGGGTCTGCAGTTAGCAGCAAGGGAGGCTGAGCTAGGGACTGCTGCCAAGCCACCTGACCCGGCTCTCGAATGCTTCTGCCCTCCTGACTAAGAACTGGCTGCCGTCCGAAGTGGACTTTGCGAAAACACACAGCATTAGTACCCAGATTGGGGGTAGACGCGGGGCACATCCTTGCCCTCTGAATCAGACAACCTCATCCGGCGAGAGGGGGACTCATCTGTGCCACCCACCAGCCCCATCTCACCACTGCTGTGGGTTCCAGGTCCAGTCTACCTGGCTGTGCCACTTACCAGCTGTGTGACCTTAGGCAAGTGACTTCGCCTCTCTGTGCCTCAGTTTCTTGATCTGAAAAATAGGGGTAACACATGTGCACCTCCTAAGGTTGTGACGAGAAAAAAAAATGGTTGGTGTGTGTAAAGCCCACAGGACTGAGCTCCACCTTGGACAAGCTCCATAAATATCAGTCATTCTCCTCTTCCTCCTCCTCACCGTCAGTGTCACCATCACTCATATTAATCATCATCAGCTCCACCTTCTGTGCCCGTCCCTAGACCAAGGTCCTCTCAGGGCCCTCAAAGGCCACAGTAGGGGGTCTCAAACCCGTGCTGCCTCTGGGGGCCAGGTAGGTAAAGTGAGGCCCCACCTGGTGATGGCCCCAGGCAGGTGGGCCCAGTACTGCCAGATCCCACTGTTTCAGAGACATTTACTTCATCTAGGTAGTGATGTGGTCACTCGATTTTCTAAATGACGGCATCTAATTAAAACATGAGAAAAAAACCCACTCTGTGGGCTGCAGGAAACACATGCCTGGGAGGAAGTTGGCTCTGAAGCCTTGACTTCAGGAGAAAAGCCCAGCTCATGCCTGTGTTCACAGTCCCCACACTCTAGCCTCAGTTTACCCTTCTAAACGCGTCTCCTGCTTGCTGCCTCATGTGCCTGCCTCTGGGCTGGAGCTCAGAACGACCTCCCTTGTCCTTGCCGGTCCATATCCCTCCACCCCTTCAGAGTCAGCTCAAAGGCTGTACCTGCCTTACCTCCCACCCTGGGGCCTCCCTCTTTTTTCCCTGTGGTTCTCTTGTCCTTCTGCAAGCTTCTTATAGCCTCCATCACATGGGCCATGGGTCAAAGTGCATTCTGTTCTCCTGTTGGATTCTAAGTCTCCCTCGACTTTGGGCCCTGAAGCCTGTATGGGGCCAGGCACCATTAGGACAACAGTCACCATGCATGCGTCTTCCCGTGGGTAGAGTGGGGGTGGGCACTCTGGATGAATCTCACCCGATGCTCAGTGTCCCTTTGAGAAACATACAATTGTCCCCCCCCCATTTTATGGCAGCTTCAAGGTGATGTCAATTCGCTTATAAGTGGGAGTTTCTTTTTGTGTTTCCAGACCCCAGAGTTTTACGGATCTGAACTCACCCGACGGGTAGGGCTTCTTCTCCGGGAATCAGGTCTCCCTCCTCCTCCTCTCCCACTGGTGACCAGCAGCAGGGTTCCCTTTCTTTCCATCATGGTCAAGGTAGTTATTCTGAATATCACAGACACAGAGGAACTGGGGGTGCTCGTTAGGAATGCAGATTTCCAAGTTCTACCCCACCCCCCAGACTTCCTGATTCAGGGCTTTGGGGTGGCTCTCAGGAGAGTCCCATTTTTAACAATCACCTCAGGAGATTTCAGTGGGTCTGGGAAGGAAAATGCAGTCGGCATTTCTACTGGTCTGCTAAGGAGTCCTGTTCACCCTGGGGTGGGGGGGAATACTTGTTCCCCAGATCACCAAGGTGAGTAGCAGGGGATGGGGGATGAAGTCCTGGGCGCTTGGCCTAAGTAAAGTCATTTCATCTCTGTAAGTGGAGGAGATGCTGTTGTCATCACTCTTATGTCACAGGTGAGAAAACCGAGGCTCAGAGGGATGTGCCAATGTCACACAGGTTGCGAGTAGCACGGTCTTGATTTATAACCAGGTTTCTCTAGTCCATGGCCCGTTTGTCTTCCTCTGGGAAGGAGAGGATGCGGTATAAAGGGCGATCAACAGAATTTGTCCAGAGGTGGGACGAGGGCTTTGGGGCTGATGTGGGTCTCCCAGTGGCCAAACTGTTATTCCAGCAGGAGGGGTAGCTTTGGGACTCCCATACCCTTGAACAGGGGAGACGTGTGGCATCCCCCTTTGGATGCTGTGACCTGGCACTGTCCTCTCAGATGCCACCAAGTGAGCAGGGTCTCGGCCCCTTTGGTGTGCAGTTTTTCACCCAATAAAGGCTTCACTGTGCTCTGTAGGGGCATTCTCCCTACGGTTCAGGCTGAAGCCCTTTGAGTCAGGCAATCACTCTTTCCATTTAGATCATGCTCCTGGGCCCCGGGTGTGGCCAAACCAACCCCCGAAGGCAACCGGGGAAGGGGGGAGGGCCACTGGGAGCAGAAGACACGGCCCCAGCCCCTGGGGCACTTAGGTCGTGATCTGGAAGATGGCACACACACTCGAGCAAGCCACAATGTATCACAAAGGAAAAATTAGTGAGGTGATTTGTCAACAGGTGCCTGTTGACAAAGTACAACTGGGCTATTGGACAGCCAGGGAGCCTGGAGCCAGGGGTATCAGAATAGAGGTTAGGAAAGGATCCCAGAAAGAGGCATTTAACACTGAGTATTGATAAAGGAAGCAGAGGGCATGGATTGATGGATTGATTGATTGAACACATATCTACCAGATGCTTACGATGCACCAGGCCCCGTGCTGGGGTGCAGTGACATAGGTTAAGGAGACACACGTGGTTCCCGCACCCGTGGAGACTGCTCACACTGGGGTAAGAAGGTGCTGAGTAAGTGGGTGGGTGGAGTGTAATGATGCTCATCAATGAGGGTTTCCGTGGGAGAGTGAGACAGGAGACCCTGCACCAGGCGAGGACAGGAGGGCGTTTGACATGGCAGGTGCAGGGAAGGCCAGGAAGAGGGCAATAGCAAGGTACGAGGAAAGCTGGCGGTGTGAGAGCCGTGCCAGTGCATGAAGACCTCCACATTGGATCTTGGGGCTGGGTATAGGCTGTGAGGATGGGTGTGTGAGTGTCAGGTGGCACTGATTTGAATCCTGGCTTGGCACTTCCTGTGACCTTCCTTTGTGTGAGGGCGAAAGTAACGCCTGTGAAACAGCTGAGCACAGAGGAAGCATTCGTTCAGTGGGGCTTCCTGCTGTCCGCCCTCCAGGCCGGCTCTCAGTGAACACAGACACCTGAGATTGTTTGAAAATGTAGGTGTCATTACTATTCAGGTATGGTGAGGCCAGCATATCAGGAGATGACTGCTACTGAAAGGATAGTTACTCAGTTACCCTGAGGGCCACACGGGGAAGCGGAGAGGTGAGGGGAGAGTGGATGTGAGGTCTTGATTGTGGTTTTCCTGGGAAGGAACAGGTGAGGCAGGGTAAACAGGTGTAGGATTGGCCAGCTTGAAGAATGTCAGCTCTGGGGCTGTCTCTTTTCTGGTCCTGGACCTGGGGTGATTGGGAATATTGGCCCCGGGTGTGTAAGAGCCTTGTGAGAACCTGATAAAGGGAGGTGATTGGGGGTGTGGCTTTGGATTGGTTCATTGCATATGAAAGGCGTGCCCCTAGGCCAGTCGTTTGCTATCTAGGAACTAGCTAACCCTGGGAGGGGCAGTTCCTCCCCACTCAGGGTCAGCGGGGCCTCAGATGCCAGAGCACCAAGAATACAGAAACTAAGAGGATGTAGTTACTACCAAGAGACTCAGAAGATGGAAGAGCGGGAACTTCGGGGGCCCCCAAGAGGCAGCTTTCTCCCCTGCATGGCGGCTGGAAGTGAGCTTTTGGTTCTACCCTGAGGTCTCTTTCCATCCGGCAGGTGAACACAACCTTCCCACTAGCTGACTTCAGACTCCATAAATTACAGCTTTTTTTGTCAGTCCGTTTGGAAAAAAGTGAAATGAACAAATGAAGACAGGAGCGAAATTAAAAGATAATTGGAAGTCTATATTGGGCTTCTGTGAACGTGTGTGCGTGCCGCCAATCTTGTCTCTCCGTGAGGGCAGGATAAATTGAGAAGTCTTCCGTTGACTCAGGGGGTGGATAAAACAGTCAGAGACAAATGCGTGCCATGCAAATAAACAGGCCCATCTTCGAGTGATTAGCTTTGAGCTCCACGGTCCTGGTACCTCCCCTGGTCTTCTCAGCCTGGGTCTGTGTTTTCCATGGTGGAGGCCCATCCAGGCATATGTGGCAGGTGAGGCCCTGAGTGGAGGGACGTGGTTGGGAGGGGGTGGGTGCAGGCACCTCCGGAGGTGAGGTGTGTGTGCAGAAAGGGGGTGGAGATGGCAGAGAGGAAGACAGGGAGACATGTGACCTTTTACACACACACACACACACACACACACGTACTCACACACACACTAACCCATGTGCACACACATGCATGCACACACACGTGCACATATATGCAAACACGTGATAAAGGGATCCTGGTTTGGCCAATGGGGAGACTAAGGCCTCAGTCTAGCTGGGACTAGAGCACAGGGCAGGCATCTGACTGGGTCCAGGGGTGAAGGAGGAGACCAAGGATAATTCCTATGAGTCTACAGGGGGCTCAGTATTTGGTGGTGATGGTGGGTCTATACACTTACCCAAGGGGCCGTTCCTGGTCAATCTCTTCTTGACACATAGGTTGGGCTTTATTATGCACAGCTCCCCAGGGTTGCGTCCCCAGCTGGGGCGCACTGCCATGCCCTCACTGGTTGTTAAAGTGCTGAAATATTTCCATTCTGGTTGGTAGTAGCCACTGCCCCGATCCCACCAGCCTGGCTCCTGTTCCGCCA